TGCTATCGAGTATTCGTTTGTAACGGGGTTTTTAGTTATTCCATAATATGCTATCAAGTTGACATAATCATAGCATTTAAGCCCTTTTGAATCTATTTTTGAAACAAAAAGAACTTTCGCTTTCATTTTTTACCTCGTCTATAAACTCTGGAGTAATTTGCTTTGAATTATATAATGATTTCAACACAACTTTTATTTTACCTCTTCGTTTAAATTTATTTTCTTTATGATTCCATATATAATAATATCTTATATATTTGAACACAAAAATTAGAATTACCTCTCAAATTTGTTTAAATCCAGCAATCCAGTCATAAAATTTCAAAAGCTTATCTTAATCCGACAATTTCTAGGTTTTGAAGCGAAACGTCTCACTTGAGCCAGGTTTATTGGTTGCTACTTGCTGTGGTTGGAAAGCATTAAATCCAAGTTCGTTGGAAGTCTGCTTGTTAGTTGGTAAACATTAAATTCGGATTCGATGGTTGTTGTTTGTTGTGTTTGGAAAACATTGAATCCGTTTGTTGGTTGCTGCTTGTGGTGGTTGGAAAGGTTGACATAATAAAGTTCAGGTTCTTTGCCTTTGGCTTCACTGTTGCTGTTTCTATCCTATCAACATCCTCCTCTGATTGCTGGCATAGTTGGAGAGTGTTAGATCCGGATATACTGGTACACGGCTTGTTGCATTAAATCCAAATTCGTTAGAATATAGTTTCGTCTGTTGATGGTAATGTAATTGATTGCATTACAGCAATTTTTATTGCAGATCTTATACATATTAATTTAAACTGACCAATCAGAAGCAATTAAAAAAATTTTTAAATGTATGAATATTTATTTTTATATAATAAATGCCATCACATATAAAATTTAAAATGTTATAACTTTTTAAAATTATAATTAACAAAAAATCTGTTTTAACAGAATTATAGCTTAGACAAAAATCAACAAATCTGTAAGAGAATTTTGTTAAAATTATTTGTTTTTGAGTTATAGCACTTTTTATATTACATATAAATATTGGATATCTTATGCTGTCCCTCACTATATACGTGTATAAAAGCATATTTATAAGATCATCTCATTTAATGGTTAATTTTATGAGAATTAAATTCAAATTCTTCTTTTTTACTACCTTAGTGGCTAAGTAATGGAACAGTTCCTCTGTTAAATTCATCATGTGCTCAGCGTTCTCATAATTTAATTGTTTTTGTAATTCGTGCCAATTAATACATGTATGTCATAGATCGTGAAAAAAATTAGTGCATTTTTCACAACGATCGTATTATAAGATCTTCATGCAAGTGGCGCTAGTTTCGTAAACAGTGAATTTTGCATATCACACAACGGTAACTAGGGGTAGATTATTGAGAAAAAAAACTATTACAAATAACTGAAAATTAAATATTCAAGTTTTTATTATACAGTCGATAGTCAACTCTCTCGACCATTTGGTTAGAAGTTAATCGCTTTGAAGCGCAGTTTGCGAAATTTTTTTATTGAAAAATTCTCTTTACAGCTTTTTTGCATCCGCCACCGGTTCATCAATTAAATGGTTTAATGTAACACATGCATATCAGACCATCTGTATTACATAATAATACATGTAATATGATTTTTGATGATTAGTAGCAGACTAATATGGGTAGATTTTTATGTTAACGCTGAGTATTATTCACACGATAGCCTCGTCATGAGGCGTATCTTATCATAATAGATGACTGATAGTGATAGAAGAATCGCAACTATAAAATGAATAATTTTTTTATAACTTTTTATTTTTCTTTTTGTTAACTTTTTATTATTGCTTTGCTTAACAACCTAACGACTTCTTGGAACGGACGCGACGCTATTGCTTCTTGTGCTTGACTTCTTGGAACGGTATATTATGTTAACTGCGTGACTTCTTCGTAGAGCGGCAGTTGTGTTTAACTTGCTTGATTTTAGAACGTTTCAGAACGGAGGGTAAAGCTTGTCTTTTGTCATATTATTTACTGCTCGCGACTCGCTTAAGGTTTATGGAAGCAAGCCAACACGACGACTTCTTGAAACGGTGTATCGTGTTAACTGCGTGATTTCTTCCTAGAACGGTGGTTATGTTTAACTTGTTTGACATTAGAACGGTTCAGAATGGAGAGTAAAAGCTTGTCTTGTTATCTTATTACTTGCTGCTCGCGATTTGTTTATTTTCATAGCTTAAGGTTTACGGAAGCAAGCCGGCTTGAACCACGCGAGCCTGGTGGAGATGGCGTTGGGAATCTTCGGAGACTTTGGATTATTGGTTGCGGAATAAGTATTAAACTAATAAATTAAATAAATAAATGCTGTGCTATTGTCTCGCCATGTCTTGCCTTTTTTTTCATTTTAGAATCTCGGAAGCAAGCCGGCTTGAACAACCCGTCACCACGCTACGGAAGAAGCCTGGTGGCGAAGGCGTTGGGTATCTCAGAAACTTTGGATAGAGATGATAATGGGAATACGGGAGAGTCGTGGAAAGAGGCAAGTGGATTTTTTTACTTTTTTATTTCCGTTAATTTTCTTTCTATTATTAATTACCCTAGAAATACCTGATTGATCTAAGTAAGGATTTCTTGGGTATTGGCATTGCTCCAATGTTTTCGCAAAAGTCAACTGATGAGTCCCATGAGCTCGGACGAAAGCCAAACTTTACTGGTCTTTTACCACGACTAAAAATTGCTCAACGTAAAGAATTCTTTTTAATTTGGTAACCAAATAGAAACACGCGCGTAGATCATCAATATTTAACGAAAATATGTTATGCAAAAAAAGTTTTATTAAGATATGTAATGTCTTTTGTTATTGTTTGCGAGGATTGTTGTTCGTTTCCGAAAAATCTAAAAATTCTCTTTCTCAACTCTAGACCTTTTAATCTTAAAAGTACTCTGTATGAACGATCAAATCAGTCGATATTGACCTGCTGGTAATTTTTTGTTGTATGTATGCCCGAATCGGGTAAATTATGTCCAGAAAGGTGATAAAAATATAGGGCGTTCTGATATATAGCAATATACATGTAATAACATCGTTAAAATTGAACTTAAAATTTGTTCGTTTTTATTCAATTCACTACTTAAATGCAATAAAAACTCGAAATTTTAAAGTATACAGCATATACAAATGTGTAACGGAGAATGCATTGTCGAAATATTCAAAAAACAAGGGTTCTTTTAATTATAAATTTCTTCCACCTAATCAGTTAAAAACGTAATCGCGTGTATTATAGATCGTACATTTACATGTAATATGGTAAGTGAAGTGCATAATACATGTACATGTTTTAACAAATTTTGATAATTGTTTCCCTTAAAACATAGTGCATGTACAGTCGCCACAAAAAGTAACGCCCGATTTTTTTAAAAAATAAAATTTCGGATTTATTTTATTCCTGTCTTATAAATATAAAAATATTTTTTTATCAATAGATAATACATTATTAACTCTTCATATGTATCAAGTTTTATTTTTTTGAAACATCATGTTCTCTCAAATCAATGAACTAATTATATTATGAAAAGGGACCAAATTACCTTAGATAAAATTTTGCATGAATTTTTTATTACCAATGTTGTGAAATGGCTCAGGATGTCTTTTTTCGTTTCTTGTATAAGTCTGTATATGTTTAAAAGTAAAAGAAGAAAATAATAAAAAAAATTAGGGTCATCAATAGAACCTTAGTGAAACCACTTCGCGTAAATCATTCAGTTTAGTTCTCATCCACTTTATTGCGATTTAAATTCTCTAGTCCAACTAACTTCAGAATTACACGTAAAAACATTATAAAAAATGATAAACAAATTGTATTAGTTTCTATAAATTGATTTTATTAAATTCAAGTATTATTTTCAAATTTTTTTAACTAATTAGGTGCTTTTTCTATTATACAAAAACAAAAATCTCTAAAATTAAAATTAATTCACACAAGCATTGATCTCTACTACCTCGTAAAAAAATAAAGGACCCAGAATGGTGTTTATGTTGTAGGATGCTTTGGAAAGGATACCAATCCCGTGAGCAAATCGTAAAAGCAATAGCCTAAAATAAATAAATAATTTGGTTTACATAGAAAGGAGTTTAAAGAACAATAAAACACTTACATTGAAATAGCAAAGCACACAATGTTTATAGTAATGTTAATGATAATACTTTCTGACCACTACATTCACAATGGTTAACATATATGTATATTAATGGACTTTATTCGGATAGATAGCAAAATTTCAGAACATACATAGTAAAAGCGCATTTGGAAGAACCAAATAACATTAAATTTCATTAAATATTGTCTAACATGTTAAGGATCGATCATTAAAGCAAATACTTACGAAAACAACCTATAATATTAATGGCAGCGTAACTTCAGATGCATATGGTTAGACAAATAACTTAATGAAACAAACATCTCACTCTATTCTGTAATAGTGGATGATAATACCGAGAAAGGCACCGAAGAATTAAGCGGCTAATCGGACTGGTGACCTATTGTGCTGAAAAATGTGTCAGATTATGTGTTGAGAAATACATCAAAAATATTCAGTATAAGGAAATCATAAATACAGCCGCTGGATCTCGCTGAGAATTTTAGCCCAGAAATCATTCCCTTTAGTGACAGAGGGAGCGTTCCTACAAAATAACTGTAAAAAAATTAAGCAAATGTCATCATTACCAATAAGGTTAAAACCTCCCGAGTCGAGACTGGGAAGCTTCTTCTCATGTATCCTATTTACCACCTCCATATGAGATAGACCCATAACCTCACAGTGGTCACGATGAGCTTCCAGTTCTCTGCTATCATCATACTTCTGATGGCAGCGTAACTTCAGATACATATGGTTAGACAAATAACTTAATGAAACAAATATCTCACCTTATTCTGTAATAATGAATATCCATGTTTTTTGAGCTCAAACTCGTTTCCTTTAGTACGTTTCCTTTAGTGACAGAGGGAGCGTTCCTACAAAATAACTATAAAAAAAAGTAAGCAAATGTCATCATTACCAATAAGGTTAAAACCTCCCGGAGTCGAGACTAGGAAGCTTCTTCTCATGTATCCTATTCACCACCTCCATATGAGATAGACAGTTAGAAGGACGTTCAAAGGAGATTACTCGACCCATAACCTCACAGTGGCCACGATGAGCTTCCAGTTCTCTGCTATCATCATACTTCTGATGGCAGCGTAACTTCAGATACATATGGTTAGACAAATAACTTAATGAAAGAAATATCTCACCTTATTCTGTAATAGTGAATATTATGCCCAAACTCGTTTTTCCTTTAGTGACTGACAGAAGGAGTAAATATGGTCAAGGTTTAGTGTAAATTTCTGTTTATAATAATTAAAAAGGTTGTTTTTTATAATATTTTGTCAAAGTTCATAATACAAATCAAAAAGCGAACAAGTTGAGTTTATTTGTAAAATGCTAGATGAAGTTACTCGTATTTATAAAGAATTTTTTCAAGTGCGCAGCATATAACGTCTTATCTCGATAAGTAATTTCTAAAATATAATCGATCGTTGAAGTGTTTCAAATATCATAAACAAATTTGTAACGACAAGCTGAAACAATTTACATTTTAATTACTATTGTAAATACATAAAAATAAAAAAAATAAATGTAATATCAAATATATGTCATTGATGATCAGAGTGCTACATAAAACCATCTAAAAATAGAGCGTTTACATCATTTGCAAGATATCCATAATCACTATTATTAATGATTTTTCCCAACATGACATATATAATATTAATACTGTGGAAATAATATAAATTCCAATATTGACATAATACATCAAATATGGGACCTCAACATGACGTATATAATACAATACTGATTTGCAAGATATTCATGATTATAATAATGTTTTTTCCTAACATGATGTATATAATATTAATACTGTCGAATGGGGTGTTTTTTCTGAAGAGGTGATTGGTCGTTGAATATTAAGAGATTGAATTATACTTATTTCATAAAAATATAAAAATATTAATATTTTTATTAATTTTAAAATTATTTACTAAATAACTTCAAAACTAAAACTTGATTTAATATTATTAAATTTAGAAAAAACTTTAATAAATTTGATTAAAAAAATTATAATTCTATTAAATTATGAAATTCATAAACTTTTATTATCATTATAATAATATTTTAATAATAAAAAATTCAATATAAAATTATTATTATTTGTAAAATTCTAAATTTAATACTATTTAATCCTTTTATTTTTCTGCTTGAATATTTTAAAAATATCTTATAATTGCTAATTATTTACTTATATAATTATTAATACTATCTTTAATTACTGTTTAATTATAATATATCTTTTTAAATTTTTCAAAAAATTTTATAAAGTTAATTATAAGTTAAAATATTAATTTATCTAATTATATATTAATTATATACTATTATAAAATATTTATTTAATTTTTTCAATTTCACAGATCATATTAATTTTATAGATCATGCTAGATTTAGATTTATTTTATTAGTTTCTAATTATAAATAATTACTTTTACTATATAAAGTATATTTTATTTTATTTTTATTAATTTAATTTTTATTTCTTTTTCTTTATTTAATAACAGAAGATCTTTTTTTATTTTTTGTTATTAGCATATAATGAAAAATATATAAATACAAGTTGTTTCTTATTATATAAAGCAAGTTAGAAATATTTGACAATAAAGTATAATCAGTTTTGATACTTATATTTAAATAATATGAATTATATTTTTGATTTGTTTTATTCTATTATTATGATTTTTTTTTAGTTTTCTAGTTATGTTTTGGCTTTAATAACTTCTTTATAATTTTTGATTTCATTAAAAGTTCTAGAAGTATAAAACTTTCATAATATACATTTTTTTGTTATTTACTTGCTGAAATATATGATTATTAAACACATTTCTCCTATTTATTTTTATTTCTTTTTCATGTTTATTACATTTATCTTTTATTTCTTTGCTTATTATTCCTCTTTTCCTTTAGTACCTCACAATTTTTTGCTATGTAAGTAGATATAGGTATAAGATCTTAGATATTGTTCCTTTTATAATTTAGTGCCTTGATTATTTTTTCTTTTCATATAAATACTTTTCTATTTACTTGCACACACTCTATTTGATGATTGGACAGTGTGCCGCCGTTATTTTTTCCAGATGATCAATACTTTTGAGCGCAAATTTTTACCTTGTGTTATTCTTATCATTATTAAAATAAGATTGATTACAATCATTAGACGAAAGTTTACCCTGTAGCATTTAAAAAAATTCCCACACCATATTAATTTTTCTATGCATCATATACGTCATAATCACCAAAATTATTAATTTCTATATTAAAAATTCTTATTTCGATGCGAATTTTTATTACTTCCCAATAAAGAGGAGATAAAGAAGGAGATGGGGAACGGGATCGAGAACGTGATCGGGAACGCGATCGGGAACGCGATCAGGAACGTAAAGAGAAACACAAAGATCGAGGAGCTTCACATCGTGACCCGCATCGGGACTCACACCGTGACTCACACCGAGATCCACATCGAGATCCACATCGAGATCCACATCGTGAACCACATCGTGACCGTGAATCCTACGTCTGATTCTTCCTCACGAATCAACCAGTGATCGCGAAGGCTTTGAAGCGGAACTTGCGAAGAAAATATCCCGAAGGCGAAACTAGATAAACTGGCTAAGTAGATAATAAACGAAGGAACCACCACAATACTCGTGATGCTAACGACCGAGTCGATTTCCGTTAGGACAAAAGATCTGTGATATTCTATGATCCTGTTAAAGTTAAAGGATATTTTTAAAGATGGGACATATCTAATGTTCAACAGATCGCAATTTATAAAGTGAAACTTAGGGCAGTTATCGCGTTTCGAGGGAAACCTCCCGACAAATAAGTTTCACATTATATTTTGGAAATGACGTATACTTCCCACGGTTTAACTACCACTTAGTAGATATTTGCATAGTTTAATGTTCTCTTCGATAATATTAAATTGAAATGAGATTCCATATCGGTGAATGGCATCGGGAAAGAAATATCCTGTCAGGGAAATGAAGTTGATGAAATGTGATGAAAGGTTACCGGTGAACTCTACTGTTGCCGCACAACGAGAAATCCCGTGATTACGAAAATTCTGAAACGATACGAGAAGATCTCAATCTTGTATCCTTAATTAGTAATTTGTAACTAAAAACATTATTCCTATCACTCTAAGCGAAATTCCATGTAATTCATTCAAAAAAACAACATTGATGCTGCTTCGGAAAAATTCTTACGTTGTTGTATCAACATCAACACTATATTTTCCCATTTATATGAATTTCTTACAAGAATTCTTATTTTGTTTCACCAAGAATGTGATTATCGTTAGAAATTCTTACAAATGTTCGTATCATACGTTATTTTCTTGATTATAAATCATTTATTTTATTATTGTAATTACATTTGATTCTTTGTCTCAAAGCATAACCATACAAAAATTCATACTTTTTATGTTAAAACCCGCGAATTATGTGTTGACTTATGATCTGTAATTTAGATGGGAACAAAATTGTATATAAAGGATAGCTCTCGAAGGTTGGAGAGACAAATCAATATGTAGGTTTGAAGAAAAATAAATAAAAATTATTTTAAACTCTTACCAACAGCGTTTCGGCTTTTATTTCTTTCGTGCCATAACGAAATCGATAATTTTACTGCTTTGGCCACACAAAGCTGATGAACCATGTTTGTTCTTAGACTATTGGATTATTGGATTATTTGAGTTTAATATTGTTATTATTCTATTTATTTTTTGAAATAAACCTATTTTTGTGGTCTGGATTGAAATTTTATTAGTAAATTTTTTTGTTATTTGAATTGAAATTATATTTTGTTAGCAGTTAGATATTATTACTTTTGTAATTTGGAATAAAGTATTATTTATACTTTACCCTTTAATTCTTATTTCTGATTGCACAATCTCCGTGAAAGATTGACGCAGGAGAGCTTTAGAGCCCCAGTGAAACCTCACTTTGCGTAAATCATCCAGTCTAACTCTCGCACTTTGTCGAATTATGCATAATACTACTTTAACCTTAAATTTGCATTATATCGATATAACGACTGGATGTGAATAATTCTAATTAATTCATGATATTGATTTAATTATCGAGCTAAACTTTATAAGCTACCTTTATGCAAGTCCGTCAATGATAATTTTTCAATTTACTAGCTTCAAAAGACTTATAAGAATATTTGAATTGTGTTGTGCATTGCCAAGTTTGTAAAATTTTACGGCATATCGTTTTAAATAATTACTAGTTAAATTTCTAATTTGAAATAAACTTTTTTCATGTGTACATTATATCTTTATTTTATTCTCAAGGAAATAAATTTCTTCTTATCAAAGAAGATATTTATTCTTGTTTTTATTTGATAAATATTTGCCTACCGATAGCCTCTTGACAAAGATGAAATTTCGAATGGAAGATAACAATTTCGTATACGGAATTTTAATGAAATAACAATCCATATGGCGCATTAAAAATAAAACTATAAAAGATAATATATATAATAATAATAATTTGAATAAAAAATCGAAAACAAGTCAATAGCTAATTATCGTAGAGCACTGACTACAGTACCCGGGCACTATTCAAGAAACCACAAAATTTCTTAAATAGTACTCCCGGGTACTATGGCAAGGGGATACTGTGTAATGTGGATACACAAGACATGAATCATTTACTTATATGGAAATAAAAAACGCGACATCAAAGATTTTAATTTTTTTGCCAATTTACCTTCATTTGTATGATCAAAAATGCCACGCGCAAATAAAAATGTTGGACACGGTCGGGTTACCGAAAAAAAAGATGGCAATGGAATGCACGCGAGAAACTCGCTATCATAACTTATCTTGAGAAGCATCCAAGTCATAGTATTCATGCAACAGCTACTGCTTTCAAGATTAAGCTGAAGCAAGTAAGAGGTTGGCGTAATAAAAAAGAAGAATTAATGCATGTTTCACCTCATATTCGACGAATCAACAAAGGAAAGCCATCAAAATATCCTGAATTGGAAGAGAATATTTACAATTGGATAAGAAATTGTGCCAAAAACAAAAGGCTGTAACATGATCTATGGTTCAAATCAGAGTGAAAAGATCATCACAACAATCACGGTATACTACTCTCTATTCCAATATTATCCAAAATCAATTTTTTAGATGGTTTCATGGCTCATCACAAATTAAGCAATCATCACCAGACTATTGTGGCTCAAAAACTTCCAGATGATCTATAACCACTACAACATGAATTTTTGAGCTTTGTTTTATATCAACGAATTCAGCATGATTACTCTCTTGCTTTAATTGATAATATGAATGAAACATCTTTATCATTTAATCTTCCTAATTATATAATAATTGATAATTATGGTGCTAATACTAATTCTATTTGAACTTATAATTATGAAAATTTTATTTTATAATTATTCTTAATTATATGGCAAATGGGACCAAATTGCCATCTGTTATTATTTTCAAATTGATCAATATTCCATGACAAACTTTTCCTGTAAAAGTTATGATTTATGTTAATCCAACTGGATGAATTAACAAAAATGAAATATTATGATGGAAAAATATATGGAATTAGTGATTATCAATATTAGTAAATTCACATTCACTTTTGATTTTGGATTCATTTAAAAACACATTGTGAATTCTGTAAAATAATGATTTTTAGAAAAAAACAAAAATTTGATTTGTTTGTAATTCCAGGTGATTTAACTTCTAATTGCAACTATTAGATATTATAATCAACAAGTCTTTTAATCCAAGATCATTTTTATATTTAATCAATATAATTATGTAAGTATATATCTAATAATAATTTAATTATTAATAGATATGACATTTTTATAATGAATAGATGGCTGAAAGTATTCAAAATTATACCAAAACCAGTAATATTCAATATTCAGCATATAATCTTGTTACTTAATAAGAACTTGATATATGAAATAATATCAATGTGACTTTAATTCACAAGTTTTTCAAGTATTATAATATTTTAAATTTATAAGATAGCAAAGAAGATCATTTAATTTTCAATTATAATCAACTTGATTAATAATTAACAAATTCAAATAACTATATATTGAGAATATAGGTAATAATATTAGTGAGAGTTTAAATTCTAATTCTAATACTGGAATAAAGAGATTAATAGTTTAGATATTGAAGAAATTATTAATTTGAATTTGATTAAGAATGATAGAATTAGTAAAGCTAGTAATGATAATAATTATAATATAAAAGAAATTAATTATATTAATAAATAATATTAAATAATATAATATACAATATTCAGGTACTATTTAATTTTTCAAAATTATATCCATGAATAATATCTTATTCATAAGAGATAGTATAGTTAGAGAATATTATAGTCAGTGCTTTATAGTAATTAATGAGTTTAAAAAAGAATTTCTTATTCATGAAAATTAGAATTTTGTTTTCTTTTTAGATAGTTATAATTTTAGTAAAATCTAATTAATATAATTAGCTTATTTTTATTTTTATTATATTATTATAATATACTTTTTATTATTAAAGTATTTGATTTTTTTTAGATTTACTATCCTTATCATCATTCAATATTAGTATACTAAAAGAATGCATTTGATATTTTTCATCTTATTTTTATTTATACAAATTCATACTTCAAATTTAGAATTACCAGAACAAGTATAAAACAACAGGAAGAAAAGATCATTAAAATTTTTCTTGAGAAAACTTCTCAAAAAATCTCTTTAAGAAATTGTTTCTTGAAAATAACTATCTGTAATTTTCTTTTTCATTCTTTTTTTCATTTTCTTATCTTTCATATTTTTCAATTTTCTCTTTATTTATAAGTTTTTTTAGTCAAGAATTCCTCTAACTTTTCCATCTCTGAATATTTAACTCTAGTTTCACTATCCAAAAAATGAAAACTTTAATTCTAATTATAATAATAAAGAGATATCTATAGATATAAAGAAGAAAAACTAATGAGAGTAATAACTATATATTGAAATAAAAGTTTATTTATATTAAAAGTCAAGAAGAAGATAGAAATAATTGTCAAGATCAAAATAATAAATAACATTAAAGAAGTATATATAGTTCAAATTAATTCTATTTGACATATATTTGTGATAAGTTTTTTAAAAAGAATATGATTTTTAAATATTTAAATCTTTTAATCTTTAATAACTTTATTATTAAATTTCTTTATTAGTTTATTTTTACTAACTTCTTAAAAAAAAGAAAAAGTATTTTAATAGAGAACTAACTTCTAATAAGAGTCTTAATAAATTCATTCTAAAAAGGATCACTAAAATAAAATTTTTAATAATATTTAATATTAAGTCTTCTTTTCTCTAATTATATAGATAAATATCAAATATAAGTATTAATAAAGAAAAAAGAAGTGATAAAACTATTTATTCAAAAAATCATATTCATATAATAATTCTTTTCTTTGTATTTTAATAAGATTATATCTTCTTGTAGTATTATTTTTTTTGAGATATATTATCTTATTTATCTATAGTAAT